CCCCAAAACCCCAAAACCCCAAAACCCCACTAACTTAAATGTCAATTAAAGGGGCAGATTAATAATTTTAAATAAAGATGATTAGATTATTGGCTTTTAAAAATATTAAACCAGCTAGAAGTCAATACCTAGTATAATTAAATCATCGATTTCTGAATATAAATATAAGCAATATGGAAGCAGAGTAAAATCACTAAAATGTTCCAGAGGGCTACAAGGTCTTGAAAGAGGGTTAAGCAAGTATTCTCTACAAGGAGGAGAAACTCTAAGCTGACTTAGAAGGTAAAATTAGAACAGGCAAGGGAAAGAGAAATTGCACTGATTAAAATGACACTAGAGGTACAGTATTTTACAACCCAGTTCAGGAATTCAACAGGGACTTCAGTATTCTTTCGATTAGAGAATTTGCGAAAATAAGGCAGGAAGAGAAGTAAAAGAAAAATAAAGATCATGATGGCATTTCTATCCTGGAAGCATTAGCAGCTACAGGGTTGAGATCTGTTAGATATATGAAGGAAATTTCACCAATCACAAAGCTATTAGCCAATGATATAGACTCTACTGCAACCGAGCTAATGAAAAAGAATTTTGATTTCAACAATATAGATCCCAATCTATATCAAAGTATGATTATATTACAATCCTATATCAATTAGTTTGCACACAGGATGCCATTGATGTTATGAATCTTCAAAGAATGAATAAAACATTCTTTGATGTAGTAGATCTTGATCCATACGGTACTGCAGTTCCATTTCTAGAATCATGTCTAAACAGTTTAGCTGACGGAGGTCTCATTGCAGTTACCTTCACAGATATGGCGGTATTATGCTCAAGAACTCCTCATGTTACCTTCTATAAATATGGAGGTTCCCCACTAAACAAGAGATACTGCCATGAAATGGTATCATTAAGTGTATTAATTTTTCATTAGGCTTTAAGATTGGTGTTACACATGATAAGTCAAATGGCAAACAGATAATAGAAATATATTGAGCCTCTTGTTTCATTGACAGTAGATTTTTATGTGAGACTCTTCATTAGAGTTCATGATGGTCCACAAAAGTGTCATTCATCAATTACCAAGTATAGTCATGTGTTTTAATGTATGGAATGTGAGAGCTTTTGGACTTTACCTTTTGGTACTCACACAGAACAGGAAATTACCAAGGAGCCTTCTCATAAATGGTAAAAGCCCGAAAACATAAACTAAGAGGATGCAATAAAGACTAGACAAGCTACTAAGAAGTAATCTAACTAGAATCAATAAGAGGAGGAAAAAGAGAGTGAAAAGAAGCTGAAGGATAAATATTAGGTATCAAGAATTAGCTCAATCCCAAATAGATGCACAGTTTGTGAAGGCCCATTAGCAATGGGAGGTCCAATTTGGAATGGAAAAATTCACAATATAGAGTTCGTTTAAAGACTATTAGAAGTTGCTCGCAATAACTCTGACAAAACTCACGCAGATTATTAGAAAGAAGTTAAACTAGGTACCACAAAGAGAATATAGGCGATATTAGCAGCTATTATAGATGAGGACTAGTGCGGAGAATCTCCATTGAACTGGGACTTCTCTTAAATTTCCAGCTCATTAAAGATGCAAAATCCCAAGAAAAATGAACTCTTCAATGCATTTAGAAGCGTGGGGAGTAAGTTAACTCAAACTTACTACGATCCAAGACAATACAAAACTGATGCTTCTCCAGAAGTTATCTATGACATATACAGAGCATTTGTAAGAAATTTATGTTTAATTGAGGATTGTAGAAAATGAAAGAATGCAATGGGGATCAAGATAAAATATTTAGGAATATCAATTAGCTAGGCTTTGCTCATAGAATTTTATCATAATAAGCAAAGTAAGTCATTAATCTATGTAATTTACATTTAGAATTATTCCCAATCTAAATGGCGATCCTATTGATGGAGTTGAAAAGGAAACTAAAAAAAACAAAAAGAAGAAGTATTTGCCAAATCCTCAGCCCCATTGGGGTCCAGCTGCAAGAGCGACTGGAAATAAGAAATGATTAATTAAATACTATTTAATTTTATTTATTGCGGGAAAATTAAAGTTTTAATATACAATGTATCTCTATCATTATATCTACATACATTTTTGACTTCAAGCAGGATCAAACAATTCCAATTGAAATACCCATATTTTTTTCACAGAAGTATTACTCTTTCAATTAATAAGACTTCAATTTGTAAGTTTGTATTGATTTCACTCAAATTTCTAAATCATTGGTTAAAATCTTATGATATTTATGGGTGAAAAAACTTGGATAAGATAGATCAGAGAATTGTAATCTTGAAAGACCTCCATCTCTTAGAGAGATTCAGGCTTAAGTTTGTCATCAGATTATCGAATGAAGGTATAAGTTTAACTTACCATTTACGTTCACACATATTTACTACTAAATATATTATAATCTTAGATTATTTAATACCTAATAATACTTTGCGGGGTTTTGGGGTTTTGGGGTTTTGGGT